TTGGGTCTTTAAATTTGGGGGGGGGGGTCCTGTTTTTTTTCTTTACATGTTCTCGGTATTAATCCTTTATCTGAGAAACAACTGGCTAAAATTTTTTCCCACTCTGTGGGCTGTCTTTTCACTCTGTTGGTGATTTCTTTTGCTGTGCAAAACCTTTTTAATAAGATGAGGTCCCAGTTGTTGATTCTTTGTAGTATTTCCCATGTGATCAGGGTTTTCTTCATGAAGTCTTTGCCTACACCTATGTTCTACCGATTCTCTCTTCCAGCAGATTTAGTATTTGTTTTCATATTTAGATCTTTGATCCATATTGATTTTAGTTTAGTTAGTGCATGGTGAGAGACATGGGTCTAATTTTACTCTTCAGCATGTGGAAAACCACTTTATGCAATCCCAATCAAAATACCAGTAGTATACCTCACAAAACTAGAGAAAATATTCCTAAAATTCATTTGGAACCAGAAGAGACCTAGAATAATAAAAAAATTGGGGTGCAAGAAAGGTAAGGCAGGAGGCATCACAATCCATGACTTGAAACTATACTACAGAGCTACTGTGATTAAAACAGCATGGTACTGGTTAAAAAAAAAAGACCTGAGGACCAGTGGAACAGATTAGAAGATGCAGAAACAACCCCAGACACACTCAGCCATCTCATCTTTGATAAAGGGGCCAAACACCCTCACTGGAAGAAAAAGCCTCTGTAATAAGTGGTCCCAGCCCTTTTTCGTTTCTATTTTGAGACAGGGTCTCACCAAGTCATAAAGTCCCCCAGGCTAGGCTCAAGCTTGCCATCCTCCTGCCTCAGCCTCAGGGTGCTGGGAATATAGGCATGTGCCACCATGCCTGGCTCCTTTTTTTTTTTAACTGATTCTACGTGTTTCAATATGCATTCCTTTAGGGGAGTTATATAATAAAAAAGCAAGTCTCTTATATAATGTAATAAAATTAACTATGATTTGCTTTGTTTGGGAACTCTGAAGTAAAACAACCATATAGAGTTTTAATACTATGAACAAGACAGCACTGAAGGTATCCTGCAGACTCAAAGAACAGCTCTGAGATGAAGTTCAATATGTTCCGAGACGGAAGGGACTGGCCTACTGGCCATCGAAAGCTGAGCTCAAGAATGCCCAAGACAACACTTAAAGATCTTAATCTCTGTACATTAGTTTAATACAAAAAAAGGACAGTGCTATATACAAATATACAGATCTGAAATGTAACATTTAAACATAAAATGCAAGAATGTAATTAAGTAGCTTGGTAAGTTTTCTTCAGTGAGACTGAGTAGACAAATACAGATGCATACGACTCTGACACATAATGAGCCAGAGGAGAACACGTTTTCTAAGCCATGATTAGCAAATTCCTCTGAAAATGGATGCAGGTATTACAGGCATCAAAGACGACACAGCTGGTAAACCAGGAGTCTCGCCTACATTGTTCAGTGTAAGAGACACAGTAAGACCTATCAGAGACTGCAGCTAAAGGTCTGAAGTGTGGGTAATACAGATTTTTCAGGCCTCTATCAATGATTAGACATTTGACATACAGACATCCTTAAATGTGAAAGTTCAGTACGATTGCATTTGTTGCAAAATGACAATCTGCTATGTATTACTCTGATAAATACTTTCAATTGGAAGGATCTATCTAGAAAGAAATGAAGAATCCTAAAAAGAAATTGCTAGCTCCATGTTAACTTGTGGTAAAAGGTCCATGAAAAAAAAGTGTGGGCAAGAAACACTGGCTACACATCTACGATTAAGAGTAATTCTTAAAAGAAAGTCTTGTACAAACAATAGCTGCCTTACCAAAAAAAAAAAATACAAAAAAACCCCACACAACTCCATTAAAATTAATCACACATATGCAAATTGGCTGAATTTAGAATAACGATGTCAAAGCCAGCCTCAGCACCTGGACATTAATGTGATAAACTGCACCCAGGGCTGGGGCCTGTGGCCTGTGTAGGTCAGTGATAGAGGTTATGCTTGGCGTGCCCAAGGCCATGGGTTCAAAACAGCACCACAAACAAAGTAGGTGCATCTAAAAACAATGTGCCTGATGTTGTGTAGAAGTGATGATCAGTTTCCAGCACATAAATAACTATTATGCAGCCCTCCCCTTTTTAAAGAAAGACGTCTACCCGGGAAGCCCAGCAGAGTATGATTCTCATGGAATTTCACAAAAGCTGCAAGGCAGCCAAGAGCTGATGGCATTTAAGGACAGTGAAAATTTTTATTCAATGTCCACTGATGGGCTCTGTGCTGATATTAAAAAAAAAAAATTTGGGGCCGGGGATTTAGCTCAGTGGTTCCAGTGCCTTCCTTCCAAGGGAAAGGTCCTGAGTTCAATCCTCAGTACCAAAAAAAAATTTTTTTAATTAAAAAAATACTACTCATCTACTACAGATCAAATGATGAAGAAAATATATTACAAGCTATCCTCGCATAGAGTACTGTATTTTTATCAGAGTTATTTAGATGAAGCCCTGTCTAGGCATTTGGCTGGAATCTAAATGCTGACAGACCCTATTTTCAACTTCCAGAATGAGTGAAGAGGCCTATGTGTCCAGGTTAATCCTCTTGGGCCGCAGTGGGTACCTCTTTCTCAAGGCACAGTCTGTAATCCGCCTTCTTCTCAGCACCAGGTCAGAGGCCGGCCGGGCAGCAGTCTCTGTAGGTGTGGCTTCCATCTGTGTCACAGAGCTACTCTCAGGCTGAGCATCTAGTTTCCCATCACAACCAGAAAAGACTTCTTGGTGGATCCTCTGGAGCTGGATAACAGGCTGCATCTTTAAAACTTGGGAAAATCCATCAGCTTGTTCAATCAACACAGGCAAAGTCTGAAAAGAAAACAAGCTCAGGTTAAAACACAGAGATGGACACAACACGACATTTTAAATTCTTCAGGTCAAGCATTTTTCTGAGACCTAGTTTTTGAGATCAGGGGTGTTTGACTTAAATCTTCAAAACACCACTTTAAGCTGAGGAATTCTACCTAAAAAGCTAAGACTAAAAAGATACATTCTATTCCCACAATACTGGTAATGAAATTAAATTTTCCAGGCCTAATAGAATCTCAGCACTAAGGACTTAATGTCTGGAATTGTTTACTTAGGATAAGGAGTACTTTAGAAATCTCAACAGCAGGGATTAGCACATTCTTCCTATAAAGGACCAGATCATAATTACTTTGGGCTCTAGAGGTCTTGTGTCTGTGTCATAAACCACAGATGATAGGTGAAGGAATGGGTGTGGCTGAGTTCCAATCAAGTGTATTCACAAAAAGAGCAGGCTAGATTTCAGCCTAGCCCACAATAGTACGCCACACTTGATCATGTACTGCTCTGAGAGACAGATGACTGCCAGAAAATTACAGAATCGATCCAGACCATTGAGTGTTTTCAGAAATTACCATCAGAAGGGAGATGCTGAAGGAGTTTAAGAATAATTTTCGGGGTGGAAGGGTTGAAGGGAGGGCAGGGGAATGGGGAGAAAATAAGAACCAAGATACATCATGTAAAGGTACAAGATCCCAATGATGAATGTAACTGTATTGTATACCTAAAATGTATCAATAAACTAAATGGAAAAAAAAAAGAAGAATTTTCACATACCAGAAATCCAAATGTTTTTCTGTTTAGGTAAAATAAATACCAAATGTAAACATTTTTATTAAAGCAATATTTACTCTCCAATTGGAGAAGCAGTGTAACATGGTGGTTAAAAGTACAGATTCTAGGCCTGGGGTGTAGCTCAGTGGCAAAGCATGTGTTTAGCATTTGTGAGGCCCTGGGTTCCACCCCTGGGACAAAGGGGTGGGGATATAGATTCTAAATCCCAGCACTTAGTTACTTATCTGGTAATTTACTTAACCTCTTGGTGCCTCAGTTTCCTCATCTCTAAAATGGGGAAATAATAGTACCTATCTTGCAGGCTTAGACTAGAGATTAAAAGAGGTAATAAATGTAAAGCAGTTAGTTGCTGCCTGATTTACACCAAGTGCTCAATAAATACATGTAGGCTAGTTTTATCATCCAAAATTATTTGATGGACTGCTAACACTCAGAGCCCCAAAACTAGAACCAATCTCTAAAGCCAGGTATAATACCTGGCACATAGTAGGTGCCTGACATATAGAATCGTGAATGTTACTGTTGCTTACTTAATGTATTAAAAAGATCTACAGAAAAGACTAAGAATTTATATCACAGTAAACCAAAACACATACGGATTTTACAACTTTTTTGCACACAGCTTTTACCTTCATGGCTTCACTGATCTCCTTAGCTATGGTTTCTCCTCTGCATTTCAAATTTTCCACACAAGAAACTATAAAGAAACATCCAAACAGTATGTCAGTTTTTAAAAAATCTAACAGCAATGGGCCAGGGATTTAGCTCAGTGGTTCTGCCGTCTGCCTCACGAGCAGAAGGACCTGAGTTCGATCCCCAGTACAAAAGAAAAAAAAAAATCGAACAGCAAATCATAAAAGGCACACGGGTGCTATCTGGACAGAATTCTACTAGGACTATTTACTTTAGCTTCATTTTTCTGAGAGTACTGTGTAATCTATTAAGAGAATACTTTGTAATCTATTAAAACAAATACCCTATTACATTCAGTTAAATGAAACAATAAGAACACTAAAACAGCAGAGTAAAAGTTATCCACATGAGATAGCAGACAGAGCCCATCAGCACAGTCTTGAAAGCGTGTGTCTAAAAGACAGTCCAATGTTCCTCCTATATATTATCTACCACTGTTTAGTATCTTTGAAAACTATCATCACAAGTTTATATAAATATATGCAAATATTTAATTTTTGTGTTACTCTGAATTTTATGAATTCAAAATATTATTTCAGCTTAGCATATGCATCACACTATTCTGAGGCCACACCTAGATGAAATTCCTAGGGACAAAGAACTACACTATATGCCTGACCTGCCTGGGCTGCATCGAGTGCATTCTCTTGGGCTGCATATAAAGTACATAAAATAGTTAACGTGTATAGGTAACAAAAATTCCTTTGTTTTTAGTATAACACTGGCATGTAACAGGTTGGACAGAACTGCCTGGAAAAACCAGAATGATGTAACTCATCAAATAGAGAATATCAAGAAGAGACTGAAATTATAAAAAGGAAACAAATAGAAATTCTAGAGCTGAAAGGTAAAATAATTGAAATGAAAAATTCACTAAAGAGATTTTGGTAGCAGATTTGAAAAGGCAAAAGAAAAAAAAATAGTGAATGTGAAGATAGGCCAAATGAATTATCTAGTCTGAGAGGAAGAAAGAAAAAAGTAAATAAAAATAATAAATAGAACCTATAAGCCCTGTGGACACTATGGAGCACAGCAATATATGCATAATTAAAACCTTAGAGAAAAGAAGCAAAACCAGTATTTAAAGATATGATGGCTGTTAACTTCTCAAATTTGATGAAAAACATGAATCTACATATCCAAAAAGCTCAACAAATTTCAAGTGGAATAAGCTCAGAAAGCTATATCAAGACTTAATCAAAAGGTTGAAAGAGAATCTTGAGAGCAGCATGAGAGAAGCAACTTATCATATATAAGGGGCCCCCAGAAGACCAACAGCCACTGTCTCATCAGAAACCAGGCGGAACAGAAGGCAGCAAGGTGCACGAACAGTTAAAGTGCCAAGAGACAAACTTT